AGGTGCGCACCACTATACCTGGCTAATTTTTGTATTTTTAGTAGAGACGGGGTTTCACCATGTTGGCCAGGCTGGTCTCAAACTCCTGACCTCAGTCACCCCCCTCAGCCTTCCGAAGTGCTGAGACTACAGGCATGAACCACTGTGCCCAGCCATCCTGACCTTTATCAGCATGAATGACACTGCATGTCATTCCCCTGCTCAGAACCTTCTACTAGTTCCAGCTTCCCTTGGGGTAAAGTCTGAATTCCGGAGCTTGGCATTCAAGGCTCTGCCCACCCCAGGCCCTGCCCATCCCCCCCATCACTCATTGCTCTGCCAGGGCTTAGCCAACATTGTGGAGCAGCTGCCCCTTGGCCAGGGGTCACATGGTGCTGTGAGCTCCATGAGCTTCCAGTTCTGGAAACCCACTTAGTGCGGTTCACCTGGAGTGTTCCCCTTCCTTGAACTCCTATTCATCCTTCAAGCTTCCATCCAAGTATCCCTTCCTCCATGAGGTCTTCTCTTATTACCTCTATCAAATCCCAGGCAGCAGGAGCAGCACCACCTTGCTTCCTTGAATTGCCACAGGTCCAGAGCTGATAACAAACAGCATTGTTGGCTGGGTGCCATGGCTTATACCTGCAATCCCAGCACTTTGGGAGGCCAAGGTCAGTTGATCACTTGAGGCCAGGAGTTTGAGACCAGCCTGGCCAACATGGTGTTAACACCGTCTCTACTAAAAATACAAAAATTAGCCAAGCGTGGTGGCGGGCACCTGTGGTCCCAGCTACTTGGGAGGCTGAAGCAGGACAACTGCTTGACCCTGGGAGGTGGAGGTTGCAGTGAACCGAAATCGCACCACTGAACTCCAGCCTGGGTGACAGAGCAAGACTCTATCTCAAAAATAAGTAAATAAATAAAATAAATAGCATTGTTCATCACACTGTATTACATTTACTCAACTGCACTCTTTCCTAGACCAGATGGTGGGCACACTGGAGCAAGGACTCTTTAATTTCTATACTTCCAGGGCCTAAACATGCGCCTGGCATACAGTGAGGTGACCCACATGTTTCATTCATGAATTAAGCAAATAATGTTGAACCCACAGCATGTGTCAGACACTGAGGATGCAACAGTAGCAAGAGAGAGAGGGATGGAGGGTGGATAACAGAATGGGAGATGGATAAGAGAATGAACACATGGATAGGATGGAGGATGAATGGAGGGATGGATGAGTGAAGGATGGACTGGATGGATGGATGGGAGAAAAAATAAATGAATGAAAGGATTAGTGAATTGATGGATGAATAGGGAAGAAGAAATGAGAGATGGATAGACAGATGAATGGATGGATGCATGGAATGGGATGGAAGAATGAGAGATGGAGGGATGGGATTGAGGAGGGATGATGGATGGATGGATGGATGGGTGGGTCCGTGGGTGGATGGGGAATGGGGTGGAAAAAAGGATAAGAGATGGATGGATGGATGGATGGACGGACAGACAGATGGACGGGATGCAGTGGAAGAAAGGACAAGAGATGATGGAGAGGTGTAAATAGAGGATGAGGAAAGATGGAGGAACTGAAGGAAGGGCGGGGAGAAAGATGGGAGAGAGACATCGGGATAAGGGGAAGATAGAGAAGAACGCCGATGGAAGACTGGATGGACTGATGGGTGGATATATAGAAAGGTAGACAGATGGAAAGAGAGAGAGATGGAAGGTGGACCTTTACACAATGAGGGATGGACAGACAGATCTCGGGTACAGTGGAAACATCTCCCCAATAAATGCCCAGGAGCCCTCTGGTCAGAGCAGGCCTTTCCTCCCAACCCCGGGCAGGTGGGCATCGTTGGCAGGACAGGGGCCGGGAAGTCCTCCCTGGCCAGTGGGCTGCTGCGGCTCCAGGAGGCAGCTGAGGGCGGGATCTGGATCGACGGGGTCCCCATTGCCCACGTGGGGCTGCACACACTGCGCTCCAGGATCAGCATCATCCCCCAGGTGAGGATGGTGGAAGGGTGGGCAAAGGTGGGAGGCATGGTGGGGCCCTGCTCTGACCCAGCGCCCCTGCCCCGCAGGACCCCATCCTGTTCCCTGGCTCTCTACGGATGAACCTTGACCTGCTGCAGGAGCACTCGGACGAGGCTATCTGGGCAGCCCTGGAGACTGTGCAGCTCAAAGCCTTGGTGGCCAGCCTGCCCGGCCAGCTGCAGTACAAGTGTGCCGACCGAGGCGAGGACCTGAGGTATGGTCATCCCACTGTAGCCAGAACCTGCAGGCGGGAGAGGAAGGGACGGCAGTGCCTTCCCCAGTAGGATTATCACTCTGTTCATAACCACGTGTCTTATCTGCAATTTGAAGCTCTGACACAGTCTCTGAATACTAAGATTTCCCCCCCTAAATTAAATTAGCCTTCTATATTTATTTGGTGGCAAAACCCAACCTCAACTGACACAGGGCTACTGATAGCCTTTATTACTCTTGCTCAGTATTTATTTTGCTATGAAAATATTGTTTGATAGTGGGTGGTAACCCCACCACTCACTGGGGTTATAAGTAACATAGGAATTTTTTTTTTTTTTTTGGTAAATGTGAAGTGTGGGCCGGGTGCAGTGACTCATGCCTGTAATCCCAGCACTTTGGGAGGCTGAGGGAGGAGGATTTCTTGAGTCCAAGAGTTCGAGACTAGTCTGGGCAACATAGCAAGAGCTTATCTCTATGGAACACAGTATTAGCCGGGTATGGTGGTACGCGCCTGTAGTCCTAGTTACTTGGGAGGCTGAGGTGGGAGGAAAACTTGAGCCAGGGAGGCGAAGGTTGCAGTGAGCCGATATTGCGCCTCTGCACCTCTGCACTCCAGCCTGGGGGCTCCATCTCAACAACAACAAAAAGTTGTGTGGAAAAATACACACAAAATTTACTATCTCAAATTTTTTTTTTTTTTTTTTTTTTTTGAGACAGGGTCTGGCTCTGTCATCCAGGCTGGAGTGCAGTGGGTGAGTCTCAGCTCCCTGCAACCTCCACCTCCCAGGCTCAAGCGTTCCTCCCACCTCAGCCTCCCGAGTAGCTGGAATTAACAGTGTGAGCCGCCA